AGAGAAGAATATCATATTAAGGAAACAATATCTAGGATACCCAAGACAAATGAAGAGAGAGAAAGATAGGGGAATAAAATGATTATAGAGATAATGGAATTAAATGCAGTAGTTTCCCTCCATTGCAATCTTCTTATTTAGGCAGCTTTCAACTTCAAATGCACTCATATTCCAGATTTCAAATTTCAAATTCAAATTGCAACAAATTTCAAATTTCAAAATCTGAAACTGCAAAATTTCAAATTTCAAAAATCTCAAATTGCAAAATTTCAAATTTCAAAAATCTCTTACTGCAATTTTTTAAAAAAATCTCAAACTGCAAAATTTCAAATTTAAAGAATCTCAAATTACAAGATTTCAAACTTTATAATTTCAAATTTTCAAAATTCAAACTTTCAAATTTCAAAGTTGGTCAACATAATTGATTATGACAACAAGAAAAAAAATTCCGATTCTAATAATCAATTAGATGCTCAAATTATCATCTAAACATGTATAAATGCTTTGTTCCTTTAGGCACCCATTCATATTTGCCATTAGATATGCCAAAATGTTTTATGTAACATCTATTTGATGTATGACCTAATTTCATGCAATAAAAACATGTTGGTTTTCTTTGAAAAAGTCTAAATGCATTTCTTAAAGTTTTTGAAACTGATTTCACATCTGTTTTCCTTAACTCTTTCACAAAAATAGTTTTATGAGGTTCTAGACTTTCTTTGGGTTTGTAACCAAGTCCAGCTTTGCTAGAATTTCCTCTTTGATAACCTAATATCGAATCAAGATTTTCAGAAGATTTTGAAAAATTGCTTATTATTTTCTCTAACTTGAAAATCTCATTTTCCAAAAGATTACAATTTTCACAAGGTTTAACAACTTCTTTATTTTTAGACAAAGTTTTAGATTTCTCAACATCTTTCTTTAAGCACTCATTTTCTTTTTCAAGAATACCAACAATATTTTCTAATGCATTAAACTTTTGCCTAAGTACATTGTATTTCTTAGATAACTTGGTAAAACCTTCATACATATCTTGATATTCTTTAAATAACTCATCATATTCATTTAAGGAATTTGTACTACTTACCTGTGATGAGGCTTCATCATCACTTTTTGTCATCAAACAAAGAATTGTTTCTTCTTCTCCATCACTGCTTTCGGAAGAACTCTCTTGTGTTGTGGAAGAATCATTATCCTCCAAGCAATATAAGCTTTGCGTTTGCTCTTATAGGTATCGTTCTTCTCTTTCTTCTTCTCTTTCACATCTTTCTTCTCTTTCTTAGGTTCCATACAGTCTGGTTTGATATGACCAGGTTTTCCACATTCATAGCAATGAAATTTATTTGTTTTCTCCTTTCTTTGATGTCTTTTTTTCCTGTTCTTCATAAAGCGAGAAAATTGTTTAACAAAAAGAGACATATCAGAATCCGAAAACTTACCTTCATTTTCGTTTTCGTCTTGTGAAGATTTTTCTACTTTTAGAGCTATCGTCTTGGTTTGATTCTGTTCACCGTTCTTTAACCTTTGTAGCTCCATCTCATGTTCTTGCAGCTTTCCAAATAGAGTAGCAATATTCATTTTTGTGAGATCCTTTGATTCTGTAATAGCAGTGACCTTTGGTTGCCAATTCCTGTCTAAGGATTTCAAGATTTTTGTGTTCAACTCCTCATTGTCAAAACTCTTTCCTAATGCTTTCAAGTGATTTACTATATGTGTGAAGCGTGTTTGGAAATTCGTGATGCTTTCATTTTGCTGCATTTGAAACAATTCATACTCCTGGATGAGTGTGTTTTTACGTGCTCACTTTACTTAATTTGTTCCTTCATGTGTTACTTCAAGAGTGTCCCATATTTCTTTTGTCGTCTTGCATTGTGAGACCCTGAAAAATTCATTACGAGTTAAGGCAGAAACAATAACATTTCGGGCTCTTACATCATATTAGGCACGCTTGTTTTCATATGACGTCCATTGATCAAAAGTCTTTGGAACAACTCCAAACTTCGTTGTTCTCATCGGAATGTAAGGACCATTGAGTACAACATCCCAAACACCGTATGTTTGTAAAAATATTTCCATTCTTGCCTTCCAAAATTGATAGTCTTCTCCTTCAAATAATGGTGGTCTATTTATTGAGGCTCCTTCCCTGTAAACCTGATTCTGCATAGACATATTGACAGATCGTTTAGAAATATCTTATCTAACCAAGCTCTGATACCACTTGTTAGACAAATGGCATCTAGAGGGGGTGAATAGATGCACAAATTAAAATAGATGTCAAATTAAAAATTTATTTGTGAGTCAATAATTTGTTAAAGTGGAAACAATAATATAATCAGGAAAAGAGAAAGAGATAAGGGAAAGAGAAGAGCACACAGAGATTTATACTGGTTCGAGTATAACCAACCCTACATCCAGTTCCCAGTCAACTCTTAACACAAGAGTGATTCCCCATTCACTATCTTTCAAATTCAGTTTACAAATTATAATCAACTCAGCAGAAGAACCAGTAAAAAGTAAACTAATTAAAAAGACAATCACCTCCTTAGAAACCCACTAAGGATGAACAGCTCCTAGAATCCCACTAGGGATGAACACCTCCTCTGAACAAATCAAAGGATGAAAAACACCTCCTTAGAATCCCACTAAGGATGAACCCCTCCCTAGAGTCACACTAGGGATGAAAAACACCTCCTTTTCCACTAATGCAAAAAGGATGAAGGTAATAAAAATAAGAACAAACACACCTGGGTAATGAAGACAACAAATTGTAGAAGCCTGTAGAATGCCAATCTCCAAGAACAAGTGTGATTAACAATGAAAGCACACAGTAGAGAAGAAAGTTTTCTTAAAATGTGTAAAATATCTCTGTTGCCTTGCTCAGAATTCTTTTCTCAAAACTAATTGAATGTAAATTGTATTTTCGAATTCTGTAATTGTGTTTTTTTTTTCATCAAAACTTAATTAAATAGAAAAATAGCATCAGAAAATGGCCGTTGGACATTAATAATATCATAGAGGAAATCATGATGTATTAAAAAACATTTATTCTTTAAAACGGATATATTTTTCAAATTTGAATTGGCATAATTGATTATATTACCAGTATAATTAATTATGATAGAGAAAATCATTTTTCCATTTCTGATGCATCATAATTAATTATGACAGAGAAAAATATCATGTTATGAATTTTATCACACTTGTGCTTTGGAGGCTTATGCATAATATTACTTCATCAACTTGTACCTCCATATCCAGTATTCTAAGACTGTATCTAGTCTCCAGGAATCATCTTGGGCTTGCTTGAATCATCATCTTTATCAAAAACATATATTGGGCATGTAGGAAAATGTTTCACATTGTCACCTACGTCATAAATTCACCTTGTCCTTAAATTCATCTTGAATGGTGTTAACTTGAATGTAGTTGATTTGAATTATCATCAAAATCATCTCTTGGGAATGCAGGAACATTTTCGTCAATCTCCCCTCATTGCTTTCAAAATTTGCGTAACCAAACTCGAGGGATTAAATGTGAATTGTTTTTTTTAAAGATGAACAAAGTAAAAAAGAAAATGAGAAAATTAAAAAAGTTAATAAATTTAATACATTTATTAAAAAATAAAAATATATTAAAACCATATTTTATTAAAATTATGAAATACTAAATGTAATATATCTAATAATTTTTCTTTCTTAAATTTTAATATATTCTTTATATTTATTGAATAATAATTACAAGAATGACTAGAATTGTAATTTTATAAACGTCTTGTTTATAATAATCAATTTTAAAATATATTATATTAAAACTATAAACTAATAATGTAATATATTGAGTATTTTTAATTTATTCATTTGTTTATTAAATTATAACTACTAAATATTTATTATTAATATAGAAAAATTTAACAAAAATGACACTTGTGAATGGTTAAGAATGATTAGAATTATAATTTTCGCATGCGTCTCTTCTTGTACGATAATTTAAAATTTTAAAAAATGTTATAAATGTTTTATTAAAAGTAAAAAAATATATCAAACGATTTTTAATTATTAATTTCTAATATATTCTGTTTATAAATTGTAACTGTCAAAATTTGAATGTTAATATAAGAAATCTAGCATATCTAAAAAAATAACCACTAAGATTTTGTTAAGATAATAGAGTAGAGAAAGTGATTATTTTTATATTAAGCTTAAAATCAAAATTGTAAACTATAATAATCAACTGCACAACCTATCTGATACTCTGTCCCTCCTCCATAAAACCCATCAGAGTCTCTGCTCACTTCTTCTTCTTCACTGTTCCACGTTTCATATTCCTCTCTCTTTCTGTCTCTACATTACTTGCTTGCGGTTCGTAGTCGGTTCTTCACTCGGTTCCTCACTCGGTATCTTCGGTTAGGCTTCTTCATTTTCCATCTCTGCATGCAATCTCATCTCTTTTTTCACTTACCATCTATTCGAAACACTTAGGGGATTATTTTCATCCGTTTCCTATTCACTTTTTCTTTTCTGCCTGCAGAAAGTTGGTAGCTTTTCGTGTTTTCTCTTGTTGTCGATACGGTTAATTTGTGTTGGTGACGAGGGACTTGGGTTCATAGTGTGTATTTGGAATTTATGTAATTTGTCAAGAGATTTTCTTTTGTTAGAACCAAGAAATTAAGAGATTTCAGTTACCATCTGTCTCATCTTTTAATAATTTAAAAGATAATTCTACAACTAACTTTGTTCACCGTCTATGCAATCTTACAAACTAACTTTGTTCACAGTCTATGCAATGTTACAAATAAAAAAAATTAGTGTTTTTTTCTTTCACTTTCATATTAGTAGGCTTGGAATCTTTGATTTTTGTTGATCATTAGTAATAATAATCAGTGTAAAATTTGCAGAGATTTAATTGGCGTCTGCGTGTAAATGCATAGGAGATTTTGTTTTAAACCACCTTTCCACTGAAATTTTTGGGTTTTGTAATATCTGGAAATCAGGATTTGAGTAATGGGTAAGAGGAAAGCAAAAACAAAGCCTCCTCCAAAGAAACGAATGGATAGACTTGACACTGTCTTTAGCTGCCCTTTCTGCAATCATGGGACCAGTGTTGAATGCTGCATGTAAGCAATTTTTTAACTACTTGTAAAGGCATATATCATGTAGGCCTTTTGTTTCCTTTGATATGCATTCAAATACATTTTGGTCCGGTTTCTCCTTTTGTTTCCTTGAATATGCATTCAAATACATTTTGGTCCGGTTTCTCTGAAATCATTCAGTAACATAACACTTCCATTTTATTTTATGTTAGAGATGAATAATATTCATTTTGATTCTCATTTTGGGAGTTCTTTTGACAGTGATATGAAGAACTTGATAGGGGAAGCTTCATGCAGGATATGTCAAGAGAGCTTTAGCACCACCATCACAGGTTTGTTTTATGGGCTGTAGTTATTTTATTTTACTCTTAACAAAGCTGTTCGTTATACTGGGTAAGATGGCATGTAAATAAAATATACTATTGATGTCTATAAATCCAACTTGATACTGATGATGATCCCTGGAGACTTGTCTATGTGAGATTTATGTTTTTTGCTTATGTAACGTGCATTTATTGTTTGTCATTTTGAAAACAGAAAAAAAAAACTGATTTATTGTTGCAAATAGGCTAATATAGCATTATAGTGATTGTTTGGTTCCATGGAAGGGGATCTCAACCGACACAAACATGATGTGTGATTGTAAAGATATTTGTTGTATACATCTGTTGAGAGATTGTGCATTGTAGATTTAGCTAATCATTTTTGTTTTGTCTCTTTTCAGCTTTAACTGAGGCAATAGACATGTAAGTACGATCACTATGTTGAGAATCTCTCCCTTTACCTCTTTCTTTCCCTCGCTCACACACAAAACCATGTGACTCAAGTAGCTAAATTGCATTGATGCAGATACAGTGAATGGATTGATGAATGCGAACGGGTGAACAACCGAGAAGATGACGGTGTTGAATGAATTCGCATCTAATGGGTAGCTAATGGAATTACAGTCCTCTTTCTAGTTTCATCAGTTTGTAATTATATAAGATCTTGTGGGTGTGATGGGCATGTATTCAATAGCATTTGAATAATTGTGTCTTTTTAGGTGAAGTTATTTTGCTGAAAACTATATAAAACCGTGATGTGATGTGATAGAGATGGGATTGACGTTAACCTTATTGGATTTTCGACCTTTTCTATTTTATAGTAGATATGATAGGTAATGAAAACAATAATAGAATAACAATTTGAAGACTAAAATACACTATTTACATTAATCTTTCTAATAAGAAAATATGGTGAAATGATTTTCATCTAATTGAAAGGGATTGATATAATGGAAAACGAATATTGATGTGGTGTATTTCAAATAATGAAGGAGCATAAGGATAGTATGCTCTTATGAAGTTATGAAGATTGAGAATTGAGAGCCATGCAAAAGCCATTGTTAAGCAGATTGCAATTCATTAATATATATATATTTTTTTTACAATTAATCCAAGTAGTCGAGGAGTTGTGAATGTTTTTTAAGAGTGAACCCTTAATTTATAGAATGCAAATTTCGTTTTTATGATTTGACCATTTAATTAGAATTTTCTATCACTGATTATAACCTAAAATTATTTCATATTTCATTTATACTCATCAATAAAACACACACACACACACACACACACATATATATATATATATATATATATATATATATATATATATATATATATATTACTATCTTATCCTTATTTATTTATTTAAAATTTGACCCACTTTTATTTGTTGTAAAGTAGGTAAAAGTAGGAAACATTTGGATTTAAGAATTGAATAAGATAGTTACTGAAGATGTCATAATTTAGTGAATGAAATCAAAATTTGAATGGAAAAACATTAATATCTTATTAATTATTTAATATTGTAATAAATTGACGATTTTAGTAAAATTATAGAAAATTTAATTAATTTTTTCAGTTATGTTTTTTTACTAACTAAATAGAATATATTATTCACATAAATTTCCAGTCTAAGTTATAAAAAAAATTCTTTTTGCCACAAAGTATCAATAAATTAAATACGTTAGAATCATTAGACACAAAAAAAAAAAAAAATTAAGATGAGATGTAGAATTACTTCAAAAATAATAACATTGTCTCGTGAAGTAAAAATGTATAAAAAAAGTTGTATAATTTTAGACATAACTTTTAATTCAATAACTTTATAATTCTCAGTTAAAAGTTATTTAAAATTATTAATTTCCTATTTAATTGATTAATTATTCTTTTATCAAACATATTTTATTACTTATCATTATAGTTATGTTAATTTAACCAATGATTTTACAAATTTTGAATATGCAACTACATGTGAAAAAGTTGTAGTAATCGCATCCACTTGTTTCGACTAAAAAGTAGTTTTATTATTTGATGTTGTTATTCAGAAGAAGGCGTACGTTCTTTACAATTGGTCGAGCAGTAGAAAGAATAAGGAACCTACCAATAAAAGATTTTAATATGTGAATGATAATAGAACAGTGTATGAATAAATTGAGTAAAAAAATAGATATTGGATCCATTTATATATAATTATTCACTATATATCCCTATCTAATAAATGGTTATTTGGAGTACTTTATTAGAATCTAAAATGAGTTGGTACTCAGATATTTTTTTGAGTGTGATGGATATAGTTAGATATTGTGGAGATATTCCATTTAAGTATCTCGACATTTATTTGTAGTGTTTAACTATTCAAGATCGGTTAGCTACATAAACTTCTCAAACTCAAAGTATTTTGGTGTATGCAAATATAAAGATTAACGAACTTATATTCTCATTATTTTGTCTTTCCCTTATTATATTCTCAGATTATTATTTTCTCTCTCTTTGACAACATATTAATGAGGAAAAATTTTCATAATCATTGCAAATGATTTGTGTCCTTGCACATTGTTCTTTTTAATTCATTATCTTGTGTGACATTTGATTTGTACTCTTTTTATCTCCTTACAACTTGTGTTTTCTATGTGGTCGTACATAAGGGGAAGTGCAGTTGGCATGCCTCACACTTCTAGACGAATAATATGACATATGCTTTTATGGCGAGCCAATAATAGTTTGCTCTGAGTACTCGTGCTACTATCGTTTTGGTTCCCGAGTGTACTTGTTAGGTCCAATGCACCAGATGAACAACAGAGCCCAAATACTTGCCAAGAGGTTGTTCACAATGGAGAGAGGCCACAAAGAATTAGGAACAAACCTCCTTCCTTACCTCAGAGACTACGTGACCAAGTAAAGACGTGACAATTATTGGAAGATTTGGTTATGATAGAGGGAGCATAACTAACTTTATATTCCTTTTGTTTTTTTATGTTGCATGAATGTCGTTATATAAACACCACCTAATGATTGAAAAAAGGGACGAAAATACATCAAATTTTCTCAAATCTCTCTGCATTATTCTTTCCCTCTCTCTGTGACACCTTTCATTGGTGCTCTCATTGACCCTACTCTTCCCTCATGGCTGATTCCTCCGACGCCATCTCCTACCTCGACAAAAAGCTAGAACAAATCCTTCTTACCCAAGCCATTCCAACACCCTCCACGACATTGATGCCCACACCTCTCTCCTGGAGTCCAAACTTTCTCCCTCCTCGTCACCATCCCACCACACAACACCATGACCTCTAAAATTCGATCTTCCCTCGTCGAACGGCGAGGACGCCTTAGGGTGGATCTTCAAGATCACCCAGTTTTTCAACTACCACCAGAATCCTTCGGATCAACACACCCAAATAGCTTCCTTCTATCTTGAAGGACCCACTTTAGCCTGGTACAGTGGATGCACAACAACCGCCTCCTCACTTATTGGGAAGCATTCCTTCGAGCTCTAGAGTTGCGTTTTGCCCCCTCCAAATTTGAGGACCCCATCGCTGCCCTTTGCAAGCTTTCATAGACTCAAACGCTTCAAGACTACATCTCGGAATTTGAATCACTTGCCAATCGAATCTCCATTACCCAACAAGTTTTTACCTTAGCTGCTTCATTTCCAGTCTCAAGCCCCATCTCCGCCGCGAAGTTATCGCGTCGCAACCCATTGACATGCCCCAAGCGGTGGCGATTGCTAAGCTCCACGATGATAAGCATAAGCTGTTCCCACCACCCTTTTCCAAATTCTCCAAACCACTTTCCCCTCTACTTCTTACCCCTTCTACCAAAATACCCATTAAATGCCTAACAGAAGCAGAGATGCAAGCCAGAAGAGAAAAAAAAATCTTTGCTACAACTGCAATGAAAAATACACAAGGGGTCAGCGCTGCAAATCGCAGTTCCTTCTCTTAATCGTTGATGACCACGACAATACCTCCGATTTTCACACAGATTTGGCTGCTCAACCACCGGACGACACTTCACTCGAAGCGGGTCTAATTAGCTTGCACTCTTTTTTAGGTCAGTGGAGCCCTCAGACCTTTTGAATCACTGGATCAATCAATGGATATGAGGTCTAGATTATGGTGGACAGTGGAGCAACCCATAACTTCATCCAATCTAAGGTAGCCCAATTTCTTAACCTTACTTTGAAACCCACACCAAGCCCATTTCGAGTCATGGTTGACAATGGGGAATTTTTGCCATGCACAACTTTCTGTCCACAAGCCCAAGTCATTATAGCCTCCTTACAATTTCCTGTTGATCTGTACCCACTTGATCTCTCTGGCACTGATATCATCTTGGGCATTCACTAGATCACTCAAGCCAGTCCCTTCATCATGGACTATAATGGACCCTTTATGCGATTCATGTGGGAAAATAAGATGGTGGAGCTTAAAGGAGACCAAAGCCCTAACCCTACCCCCATTACGGCCCACCAACTTCGGCGCCTCCAACACACAAACCGTGTGGAAGCCTTATTCCAACTTTCTCTAGAACCTTCACCTCCCTCACCTATTTCCCCAAAACAACCCTCCAATAATACGATCTCCACCAGTAAACCTTCTTTCTCCATCCCTCAATAAAAAAAACTGATCCACAAATACTCTTCCCTTTTCGATGCACCTACCTCTGTGCCCCCCTCCCGTAACTATAACCACACCATCAACCTGCTCCTCAACACACCTCCCGTCTCACTTCAGCCATACCGCTACCTACACTTTCAAAAACAAGAAATTAAAATCCAGGTTCAAAAGATGTTGGACGTTGGATTCATCACTCCCAACACAAGTCCATTTTCCTCTCCTGTACTTCTTGTAAAAAAGAAAGACGGTACATGGAGGTTCTGTGTAGATTATCGTGCCCTAAATGTCATCACCGTCAAGGACAAATTTCTCATTCCCACTGTTGATGAGCTTCTGGATGAACTAGGCAACACTTCTTGGTTCTCTAAATTGGACCTCTTCTCTAACTTTCATTAAATATTGATGTTGCCCTGTGATTCATTAAAGACGACATTTCGTACTCACAACGATCATTTTGAATTTAAGGTCATGCCCTTTGGCCTATGCAATGCTCCATCCCCCTTCCAAGCTACCATGAATGACCTCTTCCGTCTACACCTCCGTCGTTTCATTATTGTCTTCTTTGATGACATCCTCGTTTACAACCCCACGTTAGAAGCACACATGGGTCACCTTGAAACCGCATTCTAGCTCCTTCTTGACCACTGTTTTCGTCTAAAGGGCTCCAAGTGTTCAATTGGGCAACAGTCAATCCAATGCCTTGGGCATGTGGTTTCTCAAGTAGGTGTGTGTCCAGACCCCTCTAAAATCTAAGTGATACTTGACTGGCCCATACCATCATCATTGAAATCCCTTCGTGGTTTCCTTGGTCTCATGGGATTCTATCGACGCTTCATCAAAGGTTATGCATCACTTGCTTCTGCACTCATTGAATTGTTGAAAAAAGACAATTCCGTATGGACTGAGTCTACTACCACAACCTTCAATGATCTCAAGAAGGCCCTTACTAATGCTTCAGTGTTGGCTTTACC